TTAAGCTGAATGAGATGATGTATTAGTCCGCTCAAGTTGCCATAACAACATACCACAGATTGAGTGACTTAAACAACAGAAATTTATTTTCTCACAGTTATGGAGGCTGGAAGTCTGGGATTAGGTGACAGCATGTTTGGCTTTTGATGAGGATTTTCTTTCTGGTTTGCAGATGGACACCTTCTTTGTTTTCTCACATTCAGTAGAGAAAGAGAGCTCTCTGGTGTCTCCTCTAATAAAGTCGTTTATCTTTTCATAAAGGCTCCACCCTCAAGGCCTCGTATAAAACTAAAAAAAAGCCCCATCTCCAAATATCACCTTCTATGGTCTGAATGTTTATGTCCCTTCAAAAGCAGTATGTTGAAATCCTAACCCCCAAAGTGCTGGTATTAAGAGGCGAGAGTTTTGGTAAGTGATTAAGTCATGAGAGTGAAGCCCTCATGAATGAGATTAGTACACTTATAAATGAGGCCCAAGAGAGCTCTCTGGCCCCTTCCACCATGTAAGTACACAGCAAGAAGATCTTGTCTATGAACCAGAAAGCAGGCCGACACCAATAAAATTACCAATGGTTTCTATGTGGGGTGTAGAGAAAGTGAGAAGTGAAGAATGGCTCTGAGGCCTGATATAAGGAATGAAATTTCTATTAATAGAGGTGGAAAAGACTGCAGCTAGAAAAGGTTTGGGGAAGAACTAACCAGGAGTTCAGATTTAGACATGGTTAAGAGTGAAGTGCCTATTAGCCAACTAAATTAAAATACTGACAGGAGTTGGATATACATACAAGCCTGAGTCTGGGATAGAGATGCATGTTAGGGAGATTTTAGCTACTTAGACATTTAAAGCTTTATTATCAGGTGAAAACTAACAAAGTGTGAGTTTATTAAGGAAATAAGAAATTATAGTACTGACACTTGGGGGACCATAAAATTAAGAGTTTGAGGAGATAAGACAAATCAGCAAAGGAGATTAAGAAGAAAGAGTGGAGGAATATCAAGAGTGAGGAATCTTTTAAGCTAAGTGAAAATAGTGTTTTGTGGAAAAAGAAGTGACCTACATGGGAACTGAAAATAATCCAAATGGATACACAAAATGGAATGTGTCCTTAAAATGAAATACTATTCAGCAATATAAAGCAATAAACTATTGATACATTCCATGATATAGATGAATCTCAGACAGATTCTGCCAAGTAAAAGAAACCAAACACCCACAGACATGCACACATACATTGCAGACTGTATGATTGCATTAAAATGAAATTTCTAGCTGGGCCCAGTGCCTCGTGCCTATAATCCCAGCACTTTGGGATTATAGTTGAGAGGATCACTTAAGCCTAGGAGTTCGAGACCAGCCTGAGTAACATGGCAAAAAGATGTCTTAAACAAAATAAATTTTCTAGAAAAGTCAAAACTCTAGAGAAAGAAAGCATAGCAAAAATTGCCCAGGGACATGAGTAGGAGAGGGATTGAATGACTTTTTGAAATGATGGAAGTATCTTTTGAGTTCTGGTGAAGAAGACACAATTATATAAATGTACTAAAACTCATTGAACTGTATACTTAAAATGGGTGAATTTTATGGGATAAAAAATGCATGTCAATGAATCTGTTAAAAAGAGAAAGAGAGTAGAGACAAAAAGAGCGGGAAGAGAGAGAAACACACAGGCTGAGAGGAATGGAATTGGATAGAGTATGAAAAGAAAGTTTTTGCAGTATTACTGTAAAGGAAAACCAAAAATCATGTAGTAGCTGAACGAAGAGGGCATTGGACAAGGGAATTTTACTTTGTTTTACTTTTATATGGAGGCAAAAATAGCAGGTTTCCATGTTGATAGGACTGCTCTAGAAGAGGAATCAATCTCTGATACAAATGCAGAAGAAGGGGTACTGCTGAAACAATTTCTTAAAGTAGGCAAAAAAAGATGAACTACAGCACACACAAGTTGAGGGATTAGTCTTAGAACTGCAGCAATGCATATGCTATACTATACTGTTAGAAGTAAAGTTTGGAGTCACAAAGAAAAAGAGCATGTAAAGAAAGGATTTCTCAGCAAGGCAAAATTTACTTTTGCAGAAGAATGCTGCTCACAAGTCTGGTCACGAGAGCACACCGAACAAAGGAGGGAAGGGGTTTTTATCCTTAACGCAGCTTGTCCCTGCTACTGTGTCCTGCCTCCACTGGCTGGAGTTGGACCGCACAATCTAAACTGAGCCTGATTGACTAACTTGAAAGATGCAGGAATGTGGTTACACTGGCAGGAAGGGCGGTTTCAGTGGGAAAAGCAGTTGCAATGGGAGGGGTAATTTACAGAGTAGGTAGCAAATGTGGGCTCTGTAAATAAGGACGGGTGGGAAAGTTGTTTACTGAAATTAAAATAGGGAGGAACAAAGGATAAGGAAGTTAGTTTGGCCTTGGAAGTAGGGAACGAAGAACGAGGACTCTGAATAAGTCAAACCTTTGAAAAGGAAATTCTTTTGTATCTGACCTATACTATTCTATACCACACTATGTTATACTGTGCTATGTACTAAAAAATGGGAAGTCAGATTGTATGGCTACAAATGCTAATTGCTGTGTGACTTGGTGATGAGGGCTTGTGGAGGTTATCTTCTAATTGCTTTCTCTTTCACAGCGTAATAGGATGCATGTTTATTGCCTGAGAGTGAGCTGGGGAAGACACATACAACATTTGACTGAAGTATAGTAAAAATAATAGGTTTTTAAAAAAATTCTAGGTAATATTAAGATGCATGTGAAGTTCATCATTTTTATTTTAAATTGACAGCAGTCTGCATAACTGGTTTTTTGTTTGTTTTCTGTGTGTGCTTTGGTTTTGGGGATTATTAACAGTAATATTAACCTGAATAGACTCATATATGCAGTAGGCTAAGAGTTGGATCTATATCATGATTAGGGTTTTGCAAACTAGAATGTCAGTGTGAGAAAGCAAAAGAGAGATGACAAAATTGAAGCTGTATAAAAGAATATGACAATAACTTAATGAGAAAAGTGAGAATCAAAGGAGGTGGAGTAGAATGAAAATGGGGTAGGATCAATGATTTGCACATTTCCATGACATTAAAGGACTTCTGGAATCAGGGTACTAAAGGAGTGAGTAGAAGATAGTGGATGCTGTTCAGAAAAAAAGGAAGCTTGTGAATGTGGCAATTGAGAGATTGCAACTGTTGGTAATAACATATCAAATTGGCCTTGGTCAAGAGGATGAGTTCGGTTGTAAAACACAATGATTGAACAGTCATTTACATATATTGATCTCAATCAGAGATCACATTATTATTTATTTAATCAGCCATTAGTGCCTATTCTTATCTTATGCTTATCTTACTATATATATGCAACTCATTGTACTATATTCTCCCACCATAAATCTGTATATGGTCTTCTCTGCAAATCAGATAATTTATTTATGTGTATTCCTGCAGTTTTGATTTCTATATTACTCTTTTCCATTTCACTTTATTTAAAAATACATGTTCCAACAGCCTTAAAATAGAGATCATATCTCAGAATACCTTGTTTATTTTCTCACAGGGGTTACTTTATGTTGTTAACTCCTGTCAGTCTAGTGATGGATTCATTCATCCTCTATAAAGCCTGTTATATTCTCTTTCTCCTTCTTCTTCTTTTTCCCTTTTTTGTAATCTCTAACAATTATTCAACTAATACCCCCTTTGGATGAAATCTGTTTAATAACCAATATGAGACATGATCTATATCAATGCCATACAATTTCCCTAAATGTAATATAAATTTTTGTCTTATCCATTAAAAAAATTAAAACAGATGTTTTGAAAGAACCTAAATCTAGATTTAGATACAGGTAAGACTAGATATGTTTACTGTGAAGTCCCCAAACTTTTTACAGAAAGACTGGAGTAACTGGATTGATGTACAGGAATTGGAGGGGTATAACTCAACAATTATTCCTAATTGTAATTATTATCTGAGTTTCAAATAAAAATGTTTTCAAAAATATGTTCCTGTTGATATGCAGCATACTTTCCTTTCAATTAAAAATATAGAAAGGGGATCAGATAAAGATAAAGAAGACTTAAGAAAATCAATGTAGGTCATTTTATTATTTAAAAAATATGTACAGTAGAGCCAAATTGGGCTCCATTACTACACTGGTAATATAACCTAGAAACAAATATGGCCATCACTCTAATTAAAGAAGAAAAAATTACTGAGATACCAAGACCTTCAATTCTGTTACCAGTTGTTAACTAAGGCCTTCATTCCTTGGTTCTTCCTTGTGCTCTTTCTCTTTCTCTTTAACTGATGCTGGTCACTCTTAACTTATACTATGGTAAAGCTATACTAAGTTCCAAAGGTGTACTCAATAAAACTCAAACAAAATGGATATAATTAGGTGTGAGCTGGCAGAAGTACGTATAATTAATCTGAGTACAGTTTAGTTTTCTGCTTCCTCAAGCCACAAAAATTACCCATGACTTTTACAAACAAGACCTCAAAGAGCCAAAAATTACTAACTAAATTGTAGTTTTGTTTGAAACTCAAAAAAAAAAAAAAGCATTGCTTAGAAGTTCTAATTCCAGTGTAGCAAAGAGCACCATAAACAACTAAGTGTCCAGTTTTTCTTTTGAAACAAGATGCATATTGGTATTCAGTTAACCCAACTCTGATACTCCAAACTATTTTGAAAAGTTTCATTCTCTCAGTTTATCGCTTCCCTTGTGCTTCAGGCAATATATTCTTCACTGATGGCAGACAGAGGCATAACAATGACAGTCAACAGTTAGAATGGCAATAAAACAATCTTATCATTGGAGTTCAGTATCCCATCTAATGGTATTTAGAGTACGTGATCTTGAATTACTCATCTGGCACTCTGATATATGTCAAGGACACCAGGCACATTTCACCTGCAATGTTCTCCCATCAATATACTGTCTAAAAGAATAAACACATAGCAAAAGAGAGCAGCAGCAGCAAAGAATGGGATCCTACTGTACCTGGTGAGTGTGGTGGAGGAGAGCACATCAGAACGACACCCTGGCCTTCCCTCACAGAGACGGCACTTCTTGTCCGGCCACTAAAATTTCCCAGATCTGTCAACATAATACAACATTTAGATCCAAGGCAAAAAAGAATGTAAAGATTACTACGATTTTAACTTGTACTTACTTTCTATCATTATCTTGACAAGGTGTCTTTTGTTTGTTAATCAGTGACAAGAGCGCTTTAACATATATCTACATCATCAAGTTTTAAATACCACAATAGAAATAAATCTATACCATCCATAGAAAAACCATATTCTTTATTTTTATTTACAGTCCATTCAAGTTGCCAGTATAGACAGAAACTAGGCAGTATAGTTTTTTTAACACAAATAGTTACATAATATTTCCTACATATTGATATTTCTACTACCTGTAATGCCCATTCACTCATAGTGAGAAGAGAAATAGAAGTAGTCATAGGACTTGGTGTCCCACCTGCTGCTTCATTACATGTCATGCTAAGAATGATGTGTAAAACCAAGCATGAGGATGCCAACGTAGAGACTTGTATGCTCTAACAAAATATAATAAAAATAGAAAAACTATTCTTTTTCTATAAATATGAATAAGAAAGTTATGTGACTTTCATTTTATGAAAGCCTAGAATGGGCTCTGTGAATTAACTACTCTCATCCATTTTGATTAGTCTGGGAATATTAGCTAATGAAACACTCACTACTATGTATGAGGGATTATAGTATTGGAGTTCAATTGCCTTCCCTTAAACTATGTTGCATTTACACAATTTGAAAAGACCTTCCTAAAAAGAAAATGGTCCAAAAGGGAATGATGTGTAATTTTATTTGTAATTCTATTATTGCTTATTAAACTATTTATATCTCAGTACATACTAGTACATACTCCCCTTTCCCTTTTCTTGGGCTAGGTTGATCAATAAGACAATTTTTAGACTACTTTATTGAAAATGGTAGGAGTTCAATATTATTTATGAATAAACTCATGTTTCCATGTTAAGAAATGCTTCTTAGAAATGTTCTTCCATTTCTTCCATTAGGCACAAAATGTAAAAGAGATTTTAAAAATATATTGTAATTATGCTAAAATAATATGCTTTGTAGCAATACAAGGTAGGGCTTCAAATTTAATGTTAATTTGACAAATAAATTGAACAATCAAAAAAATATACTACTGGATATGAAGGAGATAAATTACAAGTCTATAGCACTCTAAGAAAAATTCTATATATATTTTTTTGAGATGACTAACAATTTACTTATTATTTTGCTGAATGTATAACCAAATCTTCTTAAACACATCCAAAATCATGGGGGTCTAATAAACAGTGAATACATGATACCAAATAAATAGAGAAGTATTCATTATTGCAGAATGTATTTAGGATTTTATACAAAATTCAATGTTTCTTTATAAACAGTTAAGCTTTTCATAAAGTAGCAAGACAAAAGAAAAAGTGCAATTCTAGTTCTACTTTTCTGGGGGATTGTTATTTAAAAAATATACACACTAACTTCTGTAGCAGTAAAAATCAAGTCAGTAATTTTCAAATACATGTACCTACAAGGTTACTGCTCTGATTTCTATTACCAAATATTATGCATGTCTCTCTTTGAACTTTGTATGTATGAGGTAATACAACATAGACATTTGTCTGTAACAAATAAATATATGCAAATCATGGCTTTCAACTCATACGCACTGATTCTTAGAGGCTTTTTTCCAAAAAATGATCTTAATATGAAATCAAAGCATGGCAAGATTTTTAATTTGACTTCCTTTTACTTTACTCCTGGAAATACAACACAGGATAGTGAGGCAGTGGTTGTGACAGGGCTTGAATATATATTTTGAGAGCCTTGTCCCTATATCGCCCAGGCCAGAGTGCATGGTGTGATCATAACTCAGTGCAATCTGTAACTCCTGGGGTCAAGAAATCCTCCAGCCTCAGCCTCCAAAGTAGCTGGGACTACAGATACGGGCTAGCATACTCAGCTAATTTTTCAAATTTTTCGTAGAGACAGAGTCTCGATATGTTGCCCAGACTTGTCTCAAGCAATCCTGTGGCCTCTGCCTCACAAAGTACTGGGATTATAGGAGAAAGCCACCATGTCTGAATTTAACATCTATAGGGATTATGTGATTTCACTTTCCTCTTTTCGTCTTCATTGAATCTATAAATTCTGGAAGGCAATTTGGATATCAATTTAATTTTAATGAATTTTTAAAATGGTTTCTAAAACATAAATATCTATTTCAATACACTTACTACAAGTTTATATTATGTTTATTTTTACGACATTTCAAATCAACCTATTGTATTTACAAGATTGTTTTAACAGAAAACAGTCCTAAATTAATGTCTGTTTCTGAGGAACTGAAGTACAGGCATGCCCTAGAAATTAAACACACTGAGAAAAGAAGATTATAGAATAATTGTGACCTAAATTGTGTTTTGAGATCCCAACGACCCAAAAGATAATATTTCACTGTAATTGCTTTGTTTTGTACCAGCTGTTAATACAAGCACAATTTAACATTTCCTCATAGAATTCTCTCTGTGTCATTATTTCCTGGGAACTATAGCACCAGAAGTCCAAAGATAAATGGATTTTTTTTAAAATTATGAGTAGATACTTTTTCTTTCTTAAAAACATATAGAGAAATACTAAAAAAAAGTCTGTACTGGGGTATGTACATTTTCCACTTAACTCTTTCCTACTATAAAGAAAAGTGAAACATTATTATCTATAATGTAAAAGTGATCCCTGTTCCAGGCAAGATTATGGTTGATCTAAGGCAGAAAGGTTTATGTGAAAAAAATGTTGGTTGATGGGAATGGTGGTTAGACTGAATAGTCTGAGCGAAAATTTAGCTGTCTGTTCATCTCTCACTGAGAAAGGAGTTAATTTCTCTGGATATATTCAATCAGAGAACTTTGAAATCTTTCAGTGGTTGTATGTGCAGGTTTAGTGTTTATCATGTTATCTTAATAGATGATACATTACATATACCAAGAAGATAAATGGAAAAAAAGAAAAAGCCCTTTTATAGATATGGGCTTGAATTGTTTTATTGCAATTACACAAGGTCAAAAATATGTGTTCATGTGTTCTATTTTTTACCTTTACAGGAAAAAAAAAGGAGAGTAAAAATAAAAATCACAACACAAAGACTCTAAAATTCAGGTTTAAATTACAAACTGAAATAAATATCTTCCTAGACTTACTTCAAAGCGCATGTACAAGTAGTCAAGTTAAGAAACTGGAGGAGAAATTTTGTGATCAAAAGTCATAGGGCCCTAGACTTTGTCTCTGCTCTGACCTTTCTTTTTCTGAGTTAAGAAGCTCACGCAGGGTTTAAAAGGAGAGCTGTAACTAGAACAGTAGCTTGCAGAATTATTGCACCTATTCATCCTAGAAGAACTATGCAAAAGAAAAATGAAAAACATACAATAATAGATGTTATTAAGAGCTTGAGATGATAGAGTGTAGACTTGGGATGGGAGATTTGAGCCATATTGATCACATGTAAGACAAACCATTTTATGAATTTATTTAACAAATATTTATTCAATGCATACTATACATTGAACACTGTGTTAGGTACTGGTTCTGAAGAAAAACTGTAAAGGATATAGATATATAAATGAATTAATCATACCTACTTGGGCCAACTGTTCATAGCTCACACGAGTCTGGGTCACCAAATAGGTATATAAGCCCAAGTCCTCAAAGCCCAGCTTGTCATAGCCACACTCATGAGTGACCAAATACATTCCATGAACATTTATCATGTAGCACTTCACACTATTTCTCTAAATGTGAGCTATAAATACACGAACACACATACACATACACACAGACTTTAGTTTTTTCTTTGCTTTCTTCCTTTTTTTCTTCCCTCTCCCTCCCTTCCTTCCTCCTTCTCTTCCTTTTTGTATTCTTGTCTTCCTTCCTTCTTGATATTCTTCAGTTACTCTTTTCATCCCTGTATTGTTCCACGAAGTATTTGAGGCGGTTTAAAATATGTATTTGCCTCAATAATAATAAATAAACATGTAAAACAAGTTGAGGAATTCCAGGCGAAGATAAAATAAGCATGGTAAGAAGCCTGCAGGGCAAAACAGGAATTTAAGAACATACACTACATATTTTTGTAAATTATTGGGAGTTGGCTACAAATTTGACTCTAAACTTAAGAGGAGCCAAAACAAGGTGAAGATATCCCCAGTCTAAGGAGATTTCTCCTGAAAGACTTCATAGACTTCATAAAGTTAACACTTAGCAATAGAGTGGGCTGAGAAACTTGGCAAACTATTCAGAAAGGTTTCTTTTCTACTTTTTTTTAACCTCCTGAGACACCTTGAGTAGGTAGAAAGTGAGCTATATGTACACACACAAGCATCTGAAAAATATCTCAAAAATTATTCATTAGAAAGCATTAAAGTGCTGGAGGGAAAGAGAGTACCTGCAACTATCAAAAGAGATAGTACTTAAGAGATTCTGGACACTGATCTTGTATCTTATGTATGTTACATACAATAGGTTGGTTTAGTTATTGGGGAGGAGTGAGGAAAAGGCTCAAGACAGGAGAATAAAAGCTACACAATTAGAAATAAAACGCTGTGGTTGATTTGTCTCCTGGACTTCTATTTCCCAGTCTTAAGTCTGTTCTGGGTAAGTGGCAATGTCGAGCTTATAGGAGTTGTGTTTGGAAAATGGCAGAGGAATACAGCGCTAATCTTGAGGTATTCATGTCTACACATTTATCCTGCAGGTGGCCCTAATGAGTTTTAGACTATCAGTGCTCCAAGGATTCTCAATTAATTCTCTAAAAGTGCTGTGAACACAGATACGATTTATCACAAATTTTAAAATTTTTCATAAAATTGAGATATTGACTTTTTACAAAAAGATCATTGAAAAGGCAAATTATATTAGACTAGGTATCAGAGACAGATTTTATGAAGTTTCATTAATTACATTTGAGTGTCATATATATTATATGAAAGATTAAAGAACTGATATGAGAGGCCTTCAGCTTTAATTCCCATGATTTCTGTAAAA